AATTTCCAACAATTCAAATTGCCCCATGGGCTGTCAGTGTGAGGAGAGTATAATACATACCCTTAGAGATTGTGAGAGAGCGCGAGAAGTGTGGAAATAGTTTATTTCTCCTAACCATTATACTGTCTTCTTCTCTTTTGATTTGCAGGGTTGGATCAGATGGAATAGCAAGAAAAACTTAAGCACACCAAGACTCAAACATTGGCCCTGGACAAGAATATTTAGCCATGTTTGTTGGATGCTCTGGAAAAATAGATGTACAACGATTTTCGAAGGAAGGAACAGAACAACCAGGGAGACATATCAACACATCTTATACCAGCTCATGGAAGACACATCAATAGGGAAGTTTCACCATCAACTTTTCAATACAGATCACCAGAGGGCGGACCACTGGATACCTCCAACACCGGGATGTACACGTCTGGATGTAGATGCTTCAATCATAAGCTACAACAAAGCGGCATGTGGAGGGATCATCAGAGATGAAAGAGGAAAGTGGATCATGGGCTTCCAAAAAAATCTGGGCTTCTACCCTACTACAATAGCTGAAATTTTAGCAATCAAAACAGGATTGGAAGTCTGCCAACATCTCAGATTGAAGCAGGTCCAAATTTTTTCCAATTCACTAGAAGCGATAAGCACCCTGCTTAGAGATAGTGGAGAGAATCATCCTTATGGACAAATTATTGAGGAAACAAGGCAATTATTATATGAGGACTGGGAGGTCAAGCTGACACATGCAAATAGGGAAACACTGGAATGTGCTGATAAGCTAGCAAGACAAGCACACTCAGAGGAAGTGCAGTTGAAACTGTTGCTGCAAATAGTGGAGTACTGCCGACATGTCATTTATAAAGACGCGCAATCAATTGAGGACTTTGGTCCTACTTCTTAGAATTCTCTTATCTTTGATCTTTTGTTTATTCCCCAACTCTTTCAAGCTTTAAGCTTGCCTCGTGTAATTCAAAAAGAAAAAAAGAAATATTAAACATACATCATATTCTATGGGTGTTAATAAAGTCATAAGATTTTGATTAAAAAAAAGGTCATAAGATTTAAGGAATTTAATTATAAATTTCATGAATCATATCCTACCCTAACTTTTTATCTTTCTCTCCCAATCATAAAGCAGTGTAAAAGAAAATCTACATGTACTAATTAAATATTCATCAGCCATGGACAATGCACATCACAGTATTAGAATAGGTTAAATGTATATCATCAATGAATTAATATGTAATGTTTTGAAAGCTTATTTAAATAGATGCCTACCTTAAAAGCTTGGTGCAATACATTAACATCAAAGCGGGTAAAAAGAATGTTTCCCGTTTGCATTGGCCTCTTACGGCAGTTAAAAAGAACTGTTTACACCGATTTATGGTGATATAGTTGATATAAAAAAAATCTTAGACTTTCTACAATGATTTCTATATTGTTTGTTGTTAATTGGTGTAGAAAAAAGTAGCTAACCCTACATTGATTTTCACTCGCAGCCGATGTAGAAAGTATGGTTTTCTACACTGGTTAATGCGTAATAATTAGCCGAAATAAATGTAAATTTTTATATTAATTAATGTTACAACCTGCAAATCAATGATATAGAAGCACGCAGATAAATTGGAACTACGCATAAGAAATTCTCAACAAGCAACAGAAAATAAAGTCACTGAATGCCACCACGAACGGGGAAAAAAACTTGAATGAGCCACAAGTTTAATTATTTAAAGAACACCAAATAATTGGTCAAGTACTCATTCAAAGAATTAAATTCTTTCTCACTGTGAACCCCAATTTTGATAGCATATACATAATGAAGCATTTATTAAAAAAAAATTAGAAGGCTTCTAAACTAGTTAAGACCCTTGAAAATTCTAATTAATAACTTAAACTCAAAAATCCATTATATGCAAGCTATTAGAGTTAAAACATTAATTAAAAAAACATATGAAAAAAATAGATGAAAAAATATAATAAAAATAGAAAAATCTAAGCCCATCAATTTTTGGATTAAAGTGCAATTTTGTTCCTCATTTTCTTGTGGTGTAATTTTGACCATGATTTTTAGGAGTGTAATTTTGTCCCTAACTCAAAACAAAAAATTAAGGTCAAAATTACACTATTAAAAAATCAGGAACAAAATTACACATTATGGTCAAAATTGTACCTTATCTCAATTGTTTTTTGATACAATCAAGCTTAAAAGCCCATCAAATTAACATAACATGCATGGCACCTAATTATTGAAGTCACATGTTAGGCGCGTGATATATTTATTTATGTATAATTTGTGGGGAAAAATTGAACGTTTGCAGAATGGTGCCGCTTGTCTCCATTTAAAAATTGGAACAATGCTGAAAAAAAGTGGACCCAGATATGAAAGCTTCCAATAGCTAAGAGGGTATAGACCTTTATTTGGCTTCTTGTTAAAAGGAATTGCTCACTAATGCTGAAAGATATAGAAGAGGTATAACATCATATCAGATATTTATTTTTTATTGTGTAGACATAGAGGATATTAATCACGTTTTTAAGGCTTGTCCTTTAACTTTCTCGGTGTGGAAGAAAGTTTTCCCAAATGATATATACATAGATTTCTTTGAGAAAGATATTGCTTACTAGTTAACTCATCAACTGCAGCATCCAAATCTAGAGGATTCTTGAAAAATTGGATTTTGCATAACTTGTTGGAAATTATGAGAAGCAAAGAATCACTATCTCTTTTCCGGTGAGAATTATACTGTTGAAAATATTTTGATAAGTATTTGTGCTATATTTAGGCATTCCTTAAAATGTTTTTCCACTATCAATTTAATCATGTGAATCCTATTGCTTGTATATATGTTGCTTGTATATTGCCTGACTTTGTATAGTTTATTTTGTGATGAGAATTATCCATTTCATTAAAAAAAAAAGTGTTTCATGTCTGTTCACCAAAAAAAAGAAAACGTGTTTCATGTCTTGTGTATAAAAATAAAAAAGTGTTCCACGTCACCACTTGGTAATGTTTTTCCATCGTTAATTTGGGCCTCGTAAGTTTCATTTAGGCCTCCAACAGCTAACTAGAATCACCCCGTATCCTTTTTGGGAATCAATACTGAATTCCATTACCCCGAAAGCAAATATTATTATGAATTTGCATGCCATATATAATTACATGTATTTCGACCTAAATATGTAAGACTGTGGTTCAATTTTTTTTTGGGATACATATAAGTATCTATCTATTGGAGGCAAACATATTCGAAACACTATTAGGTACTAAATGTAAACACTCCTCACAAAAAGAATTTAAATATTGATTCGTCGTCTTATGAAAGACTAATCTTTTTTTTACCAAGTTCAACTCCTATTGATTGTGGTTCGATTTACCTCCTTTAAATATACAATTGTCTTGAGCTCAAAAAAATTGTGTTTCGGGCCTTCAGTATAGCTAGTGGAAACATTGTAATCTTTGAAATCTAAATCTTCACATTTGAGGAATAATCTAAGGGCAATTTAATTTGATGCCATACAAACTCACACAACCTTGTTTAATTTTCTCCTCCTTAGTAAATAAAACAAGAGAGATTTGAGGACGATAAGTGGGCTTAATTACAGGTAAATACTTCAAATCCATGATTTTCATTCGTCTAAAAGTCAAAAGTTTATTTACATGTTTTTTTTTTTGGCCAACCATTTAGATGTATAAACTATAAAGACATTACAATATAAAAATGTGCATACAGATAGAGAGAGATCATATTGATAATTTATATTAAGAATTAAGAGCCATGTTTATCTTAAAAAGTTAAAGGAATTGTGGGTATTCAGAACTTTTTTAAGTTCACTATCACCCGATCGACATTAAAAAAGAGCAAATTCGTATAACAGTTAAAAAAAACTAAGTTGATCATTAGCAATCTTTTTTTAAAATACTTTTAACATAATATTGAGGCAAAAAAATTTTCAAAAACCTAAAACAATTTCTCAAATAATTATAGGTAAAAAAAAATAACCCTTAACCCTTGTATTAAATTTCAAATCTGTATAAATTAATATCCATATAACTTTCATTGAAGGAACCAGATGAAGATAATTGAACTAATTAATTAATTCAGGGCATCTTTCATTTGATGCGACTTGGTCCAGCGAGTTTCTCAGAAGGGGAAGAAGAAGAAGTATGTTACTGTGGATCTGTGAAGAAATTTCCAACTTTGACCACGTCAATTAAACTTACTTTATATATTTAAATTAGCTACTCAATATTTATAGGAAAATATTTTATTTGTCAATGTCAACAATTGTTCTCCTAACCACTGGTGAAGAAATGGTCTAACATGAGTGAATGACAAGCCCCATGTGAAAAGCTTTCCCATGGTTGTTACATATATAATTATTATAAAATTTATCAACATGTTTGAATGAAATTAAAAATCACTATCATTTTTGAATGAGCACGTTGATTATATCTGTCTCGTGTTTTCATTTCTTTGTTTTGGCATGTAAAAAGCAAACGGATTTCGGCTTTCTAATTTTTTTTTAACCATTGTTTTGTACCATTTGTCCATAGCCAGATAATGGCCCTGCTTACCATCATGATTAGTGGCTCTGCTTGCCATTATGATTGAAATCGTTTATAAGTAAGTTTTATTTAAACTGAGACAAAATTCTTCTAATATATTTACTTCGTATTTCATAAATTACAATTAAAAAGCTATTTATAAATTATTTTAAACGGGCATAATATTAATTCTATTTATTAATTCACGATTGCCGAACCCATATTATTATCTAAAATTATTATATACATGTTTTACCCAACTTAATCATGGCTAGTTTATTTAATTTTAAATTTTTATTTTCAAAATATGAAAATTTTGATAATATAAAATGTTAATACTATTAATATTTAACCTATCAAAATTAATTTGGACCACCCAAACAAGTAATTACATACGAATATAAGGGAAAATTAAAAAATGGGAGGATGAGAAGAAAGAGAGTCAATTGAGAATAAGTTGACCAGCAAAAAAACAAACGCCACTAATTTCAAGTATGACTATATATGATTACAACGTCTGGCAAAAAAACAAAAAAGTATGAGTACAACGTAATAATGTAATTATATCCCATAAATTAACCCCATCAATGTCGACGTGCTAGATTTTTTTTTTTATTTTTAAAATTTTTTCCAAATGCTGACTAACTCATCCAAGTAAGCAGCAATTAAACTTTCCTGATTATTCTATACGGAAAAGAAAGAAGTAAATTATATTTACTAATTTTGCTGTCATCACGGATAATAATGGTGAACCGCCGGAGGAGGAGGTGGCGGTGGCGGCGGCGGAGGTGGAGGAGGTGGGGGCGGAGGGGGCGGAGGAGGAGGAGGTGGGGGTGGAGGGGGCGGAGGGGGTGATGGAGGAGGAGGAGATGGCGGAGGTGGTGATGGAGGAGGAGGAGATGGCGGAGGAGGTGATGGAGGAGGAGGCGGTGGTGGCGGCCTTGAGCATCCAAAGGCACCACAATCAACTGGGTGAGCATAAAAAGCTTTACATTCCATTTCTGACCTCTGCATCGGCCGGTAAGGAATACAATTTTTCCGATCATCTTTCGCCGGCAACTTCAGACAGGTAGGCGGTTCGCTGCAGAAGTAGTTATAGGAGTACGTGAAGTTCTGTAACCTCGGCAACGAGCACACACTCGCCGGAATCTCACCGGAGAGCTCGTTATGCGCCACATTCAACTGCTCCAATTTCTTCATTCCCTCAATAGATTCCGGCAACGTTCCGATTAACTTGTTAAAACTCACATCAAACACCGTAACTTGATCCAATTTACCAATCTCCTCCGGTAAACAGCCCTTTAACCCACTGTTGGAAATTATAATCTCATTAAGCGTGTCCTTCATTTTTCCCAGACTCGACGGAACACACCCATTCAGATTATTGTTGGCGAAGACCACAACGGACACCGGAGAATTCCCGAGATTCTCCGGCAACGAGAACTGAAACTTGTTGTCGTTTATGAAAACGGCGTCGAGCTTAAGGTCAAAGAGACCAAAAGGGACCGTGCCTTCGAAAGAGTTGAACCTAATGTCCAAGAACTTCAACGAACGGAGACACAAAATGACGTCGGGGAACGGCCCGGACAACTGGTTGTTACTGACGTCAAGCTCATGAAGAAGATGAAGGTTACGGAAGCTCTGAGGGAGGGTCCCACAGAACCGGTTAGAGTTGAGATGGAAGAGAGCAAGGTCGGTGAGTTGACCAAGGTCTTCCGGCAAGGAACCAGAGATGTCGCCGTGGTTGAGGTCGATGCCGGCGACGGTGTAGATGTGGGGATCATCCGGCGCCGGAGCACAGTAAACGCCGTTGTAGTTGCAAACATGGTAGCCGTACCAGTTGGAGGTGAAGTTCTTGGGATCGGAGGTGATGGAATGCTTCCATGCTTGAAGAGCATAGTAAGCTTTGATCAGCCTAGGGTTTAATGGGACGGTGACATTATTAGAAGAAGCTTGGTGAGAAGGATTGATAATGGAGAGAAGAAAAATGAGGAAGAAGATGACACAGACCGGTAAAGGAAGAAGAGGACGAAGACGATGATGACGAGGTTGAAGAAGAAGAGAGGCCATTGATGGTGAGGTAAGGCCTCAGAAAAGAGTACTCAAAGATGATGTGCGAGGTTGGCCTTATATATAATTAAAAAGGACGGGACTACAAATTGATTATTTTTAGATGATTTTAATACTAATTATGAAGATTTGATGTCTTCAAATTGTGCAATTAGGGTCTTTTTAATAATATATAAGTAGCTCAAATATTTGACTTTTTTATAAATATTAATTAACATAGGAACTGGAAGTGGAATGAAGGGTATGATCCATGAAAATTGAATATTAATCTTTTTGGGGTTTATATATATTAAGGCATTTCTTAAAAATCATTTTATCCAATATTTGATTGAGACTAAATTGTTATCTTCATAATACCTTTCACATCGGCTAGGACAATAAATAATTAATTAAGCTGCAATTAACTATTTTCATGTATATTATGATAATTTTTTGCGTGTGTAATTATGAATGACAAAATCCTTCTGCTTAATCATGTTTTTTTTGGGCTGTAAAGAGCGCATAATCTATACATCTATGCACTATATAATCTAAAATTTATGGAGACCACACTGTTTATAAATAATAAACAGTACAATATAATTTATTTCAGACACTCGATACGAAGCATTTATAATTTATAATTATAAAGTGACCATAGGGAAATTAAAATATATTTATACTTATAATATATTACTATATGTTTTTAAACTATTATTTGGAAAATTATAAAATATACTTTGCCGAACGGATTAGTTTGGAAATTAAAGTCTTCTCTCTACCCCTTTATATTTTATATATATATATATATATATATATATATAGATATTCAGAGCTAGCATTCTAATGAAGTTGTGGGCATGTTGAACAAAGGCGGCTTTATAATTTCTTACCAAAAACGCGGTTTTCGTCGCATTTACCTTTTTATATATAAACACCCTCCTCCATTTCATATTACTATAAGGTATTTTTTTAGAGTGCTAGCTAGATGTTTCAAAACATAAGATATTTTGAAAAAGAAAAAGGGTTCAGTGAGGAATTTATTCTAAAATCACCCACAATTAATGATGACGTAATATTTAAGTGTGAGTTTGGGTTGGGGTTAAATTACATTAATTGAAGGATATTCTTAAGATATATATATGTATCTGTGTAATTTTACAAAAAAAAATCTAATAATATGAAAAGGAGGAAGTGCTTGTGCAAGGTTTGTCATCAATATTTTTCAAGAAAAAATTATAATGTAGCCCTAAGAAAGAAAAAATTACAAAACAAGTCCCAAAATTGTTATTCTCAATTCTAAAACTTATCATTATAAATTAAATAGGTTGTTATTGAGATTTTTTGATAATTATTTTCTTTCTAGAGACTTGATTGTAATTTTCTCTATTTTCAAAGTTGTATTGTGTGCCCCTCTGTGTGTGTGTTAATGTTGCATAGGAATATTGCTTAACAAACATGGAGAAATTTCAACGGGGTTTACATATTAATAACAATTAGAGCCATTATTCTTCTAGTACTTGTCCCTAGGATGTTTCTTCTCCTTTCAGCAACCCTAAAAAACAATAAAGGAAAGGAAAGGAAAAAAAAAGAGAGGAAACAATTATCAATTTTTTCTGTTAAGAAATTAATTATTAATTAATTCCACTAGTTGTGAAAACTAAAGCATCACCTTTTGAATTATGCCATATAGAACACTCCACAAGGAGCTCTATCATGGACATGAAAAGTTAGTACACATACTAGGAAAAGAAATTAACCATCCAACAACCCCTTTGAAAAAAGAGAGAAAAAGGGGAAGAAATAAAAGAAATTCCAAAGATACTTTGGACACATTCTAGTTAGGGTTTTAATTCTTTTCTTTTTTTTTCTAAATATGTTATATTTTAATTTGTTGTTTTCTATCTCCTTTTCTTGTATTTTCAAGGGCTACAATAATTCTTGTTAAGACTCGAATATGTTTTTTAGGGTTAATGGTTGGTGGTCATAGGCTTTGTTTAGCGTCCAGTCATCATTAGCAACAAAAGTGATATATGATAATTTCTTTCACTGTATTTGTTTATCACGATGTTCTCGAAATAATTACGATATTCCTTCGTCATAAATCAAAAATTAATAATTTTGTAAAATACTATTTTCTGGCCTTAATTAAACGAAAGTCTCCCAGTCGAAATTGTTCCAAATGGTTTATAATCCATTGCTAGCTGTAATTTGACTGCTTCAAATGTTAATAACAAAGACATAAAACATTAATGATTTGCACATTAAATATTAATTATTATTTACTATGTGTCATGTTTCAAAAGCTTCTTTTATATGGTAAATTATTATTATTAATATAATAAAAAAATCATTATTACTTTTAATTAATATGCATCTGAAAATCACACAAAGGCAATCCTTTTACACGCATTGACCCCACAATTGATGATCGTATGTGCTTCATCATGCTTTGGCTTTTGGTAATCAATCAATTAATTGTCCAGATGTATGAAAATTAACTTTTTGTGATAAATAATCGTTATAAGAAAACGGCATTTCTAAATCAAAACCTGTCACTTAACAAAACAAGTCTTGCTCCTAGTTATATTTATAACGAAAACTTTTTATTACATAGATTTTTTGTTAGAACTTTTAGATAGATTTTTATATATTATTTGATATCAGTTATACCACCATGTTAGATTTAAGTATTGTTGAGTATGAGTTATTTCACAAATTCAAACTCGAGATTTGTCTAAATGGCCACAATCCCCTCCATTAAGAATAACATCTATTAGCTTAATTAGATTATTTTAGCTTATATGTTATTTTTTGCTCCTGTTAGTTGTTAAATAAATAATAGGCTAAAGTATACATTTGGTCTTTTAACTTTATGTAAGATTTTAATTTAGTCCCTTAACTTTAAAAAGTATATTTTTAGTCCATTAACCCTAGAATTATTAGTCTTAAATGATTTTTTTTTTGCAATAATCATGGTTGTTTTAAAAATTAAACTCAATATCATAGCATTTAGTAATGTTTTATCAACATTCAAGAGCTCAATATTATCATTTTTTGTAAACAGTTCCAGGATTAGAAGACTAAAAATTTACTTTTTAAAGTTAAGAAGTCAAAATGAAACCTTATGTAAAATTAAAAGACTAAAGGTATACTTTTAGCCTAAATAATATTTATAAATTTCTAATTAATTATATGCTATGTATAAATTATAATATAATGATAAATTAATATGTGTTCTATTTTATTTGCAATATATTTTTTAAAATGCAAGGATACAAATAGTTATTTCATTTGCAAAAAAAAAAACGTTTTAAAATGTTTTTATTATTTGTTGATAATAAATAATATTATAATTGTTAATAGAAAATGGAATGGTTTGGCAGGGGCAAAGGGGGATGATGTTAAGTGATAGACATAGTACCTATGAAATTGACTAATTACATTGATTATGATGACAAGGCGTCCCTACATATCAGAATCAGAGGCTTCGTATTAATTAAAAAAAAGTCAACAGTTCTTGCCGGTTGTTTGTTTCATTCTAAAGTACGAATCATATAATTTAGATAAGTAGTGAGGTTCCTTAAGACAGCAATTTCATATGAGAAAATGACATTTTGGGATCAATTTACGTAGATGTTGATTATGATGATAGAGAAACACTCATTAGGCCACAAATATATATAATTGTCTTTTTTAAAAATTAAAACTTTAAAAGTGTTTTGATAGAAACTAAATGATGACTTTAAAAGTGTTTTTACAGTATACGAAGTAAATATGTAAAGAAATTTTTCTTATTTTACAAAAAAAGTGCTTTTTAAAAACATTTTTATATGTTCTCGACACCAAGTTTAACTCTAAGGGCCTGTTTGGTTTTAGGGAAGGGGAGGGAAAGTTTTATTCTCACTTTGTTTGGTTTCATTAAAAAAGAATAGAGGGGAGGATATTTAATGATCCCTTATTTGGTTCAAAGAGAGGAGGGGAGGGATAGTAATAATCAATTTATCATTTTACCCTTACATATTAGTTTATGTTTTTTATTGATATATTATATAAATTAATTTACATCTTAATTTAAATTATATAATTTAGTAAAAATTCAGTCTTATCATGTTAATATGTGTATTGAAAAATTGGTACAGAAATTTTTTATTCTAATTAATATAATAATATATTTAAAATAATCAAATTAACAAATTTTACATGCTCTAAGAAAAATGAAATTTTATTCTCTTTAGGCTATCTTTTTTTCCAGCTTTAAAATATATTTAATAAATAATATATTTATAAAAAACAATTAATTTTATAATGTTATAATTTTTTATTTTAAAATAATTTTTATAATATATTTTTAATTATAATAATGTTTATTTTTTTATTTTTTTACTTAGGATAATATATTTTTTATTTGAAATAAATATTATAATAATATATTTTATGGGTAGAAGTGGAATATTAAAAAAACTATAAGGGTGTAATGGTCTAAAAATTTGGCTCCCCTTCAAAAACCCCAAATTTGGAGGGGAGCTAAAATGGGAGAAGGGAGAGGAGGGGACATTTTAGCTCCCTTCCCCTCCAAAATTTTTAACCAAATGAGGGAATGGCTCATTTTCCCTCCCTTCCCCTCCAACCAAACAAACCCTAAAATTATTCAAAATATCATTGATGCAAAATAATGAAAAGCGGATTGGTTATTAAACTATGAGCTGTTTGGATGGAAACCAAACCATGGTTTCAGAAGTACTTTTACAATTTACGAAGTAAATATGTAGAGAAGTTTGTTTCGTTTTATAAAAAAGTGCTTCTGAGAAGGACTTTTTGCAGTTGCCAAACACCCACTAGTAAAGGTAAATGATCACGCTAGTAAAAAAAAAAAAGGTAAATGATCACAAAGTTATAATTCATATGTAAAATTTAACAAACAGGGTTATCAAAACGCGAATAACTGACCAACCCAGCTTCAAAAGGAAAAAGTAGAAAATTCAATATGATCAATGTGTGTAAAAATGTTGACTAAATTAGCTAAAAGATTGGTTTGTCAATT